TGTATGGCAAGCAGTTTCCCCCGTCCAGCCATCTTGTTCAGTGTTCTCGGCCAGCCTATCGGATTGTGTTGGCAGCATTCAAGGCAGGTCCCTCTTCAGCAAAACCTCTCTGAAATGTCTCACAGACAGGACCAGCTGTGCGTCTCCCAGGAGACTTTAAATGGAGTCAAGTTGACAGTGAAGATTACCTTCTTGCAGGAATGCCATGTTGATGACTTTCCTAGTTTCATGCACTCAGTTTTGCAGGATTTGTGACTGACTGTCAATCTACCATGGTTTGGTAAAGGGAGGCCCTTCTGAAGGGAAATGGAACAACTGTTAGGCGAGCAGCAGAGAACATTGCCTGCATGCACCCTAAAGCCAAGTGAGTTACAGCAGCGTCAGCTTGAATAAAGTTTACGCTGGCTTTATCTGCATTTTCAAAAGGCAGTTTGTCCCATCCTCAGGTCTCTGTTTACATGACTTTGACTGCTCTGTTCTTTATGGATGGAAGAGGTTTCTGCGGAGACTCTGAGTCCATGCACACAAAATTCTTTCGTGTGCATGTGTGTATTTCGAGGTACCTTCATGATATTCTGTCAAAAACATCCCCTGAAAATCTGGGCAGTCAATCTAAAGCTAAGAATAGTGTTTAGCCTGGAAACTTAAGTCGAACTAGCTCAATACAGAAGCAGTTGCAACCTCAACTGGTTAGCACGCACCCGCCTGAGCAGACCCTCCCCTTTCCATTTTTAGAAGGCTTGCTGTGCCACACCTGCTAAGCATTAGCCACTAATGGTGACATGCTGCTGGTGCCAGACTCGTCCTCAAGATGAGCCACTGAGCTACGCTGACAGGGTCAGCCCTAATCAATCTCCAAACTGCTTGGCAGCAGAACCAGGAGAGAAACTCATTACGAAGCATCTGTCCGGAGATCCTGTCCTCATTCCTAAGCCAGAGAAATCTGAATCCTTCTGAGACAATTTAAACAGCACATACAGTGTGGTGAGTTTTCCTGACACCTGCCCTATATGCTAGTCTCTCCAGCAGCAGCTCAACCCGAGGACAGTTGTGCAAGGTGGAGTGTTGCCATTGGAGACCCTAGCTGCCCCAGAAAACACAACCAAGTAGGTCACAGCTCTGGGTACAGAGGACACTTTATTGGAAATATATAAGTAATGTTTTTCATTAATAGTTCCCCTTTTCTGGTCTGTTTTTAGGCCTAGATGAAGATAGTCATGTACAATAAAATTAAGATATAATAGCAATGATAAAATTAGTTTAATAAGTTTAAATCTCACTTGTTGTAGGGGGACTTTCCTGGATCAAGTTTTTCCTTCCCTTTACCTTTGGGCTTTCCCTCCTTCTCTGTCATTTCTCTCTGCTGTTTTTCTTTTGAGGTACCCCACTGGCATTCCCAGACCCCACTTGCATGAAGACAACTTTTCATATACACCGATGTGTAAAAACACCGATACTCTTTGTTCTAGTCAATGAGCAGACCTGGTCTACAGAAATAACCAGAGATGCCCGGGTTCTGGTTTCATTCTACTGCTGTGACCAACATCATGACTAAAAGCAACTTAAGGAAGGAAAGGATTTGTCTGACTCACACTTCCAGGGCATAGAACATCACTGAGGGAAGTCGGGGCAGGAGTCCAGGTGGAATGCCGCTCCCTGACTGCAGCTCATACCTAGGTAGCACCACCTGCACAGGGAATGGGGCCACAATCAGGACCCTACAGACACGCCCACAGGCCAATCTGATCCGGGAAATCCCTCCATCGAGCCTCCCTTCTCAGGTGAATCTAGGCTGTGCCACGTTGACTGCTGACAGTTAAACTAGGACACATAGAAAGATTGGTGCCTGCTGACTTGGAATGTAGCTCAGGTGGTAGAGTGCTTGCCTACTCACAAGATACACTGGATTTGATCTCCAGCACCATATAAGCTGGGCATGGTTTCCCACAACTGTACTCCCAGTACTTGGGAAGTGGAGGCACGGAGGATCAGAAGTTTCAGGCCATCCTCAGCTACATGGTGAGTTCAAGGCCAGCCTGGGATACATGAGACCCTGTCTCAAATAATAAATTAGTAACACATAAAGCTTAAAAAAAAAAAAAAAACAATCTTACAGCCATGTCCTCCCCATTGTGACGCTGTATCCTCAGCTATGAGTCAAAATAAACCCTTAACATAGATAATTAGTAGTAAGCGTGATACAACTGCACACACGTGGAGTCTCGGGAGGCCAGGGCTGGGACAGAGCTTGAGCCCAGAAGTTCCGAGTTAGCTGAATCTTTTACAGTAGAAGTAAACCTCAAGAAAATGGTTACAAAAAGCATGTTTGAGCCCCGTCACATAAGAAACTCTCCACACAGGGAAGGACAAACTGCCAAGTTCATCTCTAGAATGTCGGTTTCCTGACGCTACATTTGATGTCTCCCTCTTCCAAGCTTTCTACTCTGAACTACTGATTCTGTATTCAGAAAAGAGGCTCCGACTTCAAAACATCAGGGCTGGGACTGAGGCTGGGCTGGCAGAGGGCTTAGCCCAAAGCCCTGGGTTTAGTCCTCGCACACTAGAGACCAGGCTGGTGTTGCACACCCATGATTCCAGCACTCAGGAGTTGGTGACAGGAGGATTGGAAGGTCATCCTTGGTTACATAGGGTGTTCAAGGTCAGCCTGGGCTACCTGAGACCATGCCTATTTAAACAAAAAAAAAAAAGAAGGAAAGAAAAGGAAGAAAAACACATGTAAGCTGACCGCCTACAAGTTCAGCTACTCCCTTGGGGCCATATTCCCCCAGCTGCACGCTGTAGGTCTTACCCTACGGCCAATGACGGAGCACCCACCACCTAAGCAGGCTGAGACAGGGCTGCAACTGAGACCAGCTTGGGCTACATGGAGAGGTGGAGACCAGCCTGAACTACACAGAGGTGGAAGTCAGCCTGAGCTACACAGAAGGGGAGACCAGCCTGAGCTACACAGAGGTGGGGGCCAGCCTGGGCTACGTGGCCAGCCCCACAAGAGAAGGGCAGAACGGTGACTGTACCACAGACTTCCCAAGCCCTGGAACTTCTCTCAGGCAGAGAGATCTGCCCGGCCAAGAGAGGAAATTGCTTCCGGCTTTCCTGCGCTGAGGACAAGAGGGCTGAGAGTTGGGGGTGCGCGGCACAGCCCTCCCACATCCACGTCCACACCAGCGCGGCCTGACTGCGCCTGCGTCAAGGGCTGCGCTTTCTCCAAGTCCACGAGGACTGTCAGCCACTCTGGAGCCTTCCTGCCAAAGCCTCATCCAACCAGAAAGCGCCAGCCCTACGCGTTCAGCAACAGCCAATCAGAAACAGGATCGGGAGCTCTCAGAGCCCGCCCCTGAGAAGCTCTGGGCCAATAAGCATCCGCGGAGCCAGGCTTCTCTAGCCCGTTCGGCCGCGGGTGCTACTGTTGAGCGTGAGCGCCAGGCAGTTGAGTCGGCTTAGAGGAGCGTCGAGGCTGCTGCGGTGGCCGGAGGTGTCCAGTATGGTGAGGCCCCGACGGGCGGGGAGGCCGGGCCGCGGGGCCTGGGTGTGGGAAGGTGACGGCCGACCCCGGCTCAGGTCTGCTCAGGCCTGGCGTCCTGCGGGGGCTCCGTCTGGCCTGCATGGCGTCTGTTGGGCGTCTCCGGGACCTCCAGGCCCGCTTCTCCCCGCGGCCAGCCAGGGGCCCATGAGCGTCGGGGACGGCTGTGCCTCGGCCCTGGGCTGCCCGCGCATCTGGACGCTCTGGGAGGGCGAGGTTGCTGCCCCCGGGAGCTCTGACGTCCTGTCTGCCCCGGTGATCTGCGGGGATGTGGGGGTGGAGGCTTCCGGCCACGCGTTCGAGGCGCAGGATGCCCAGGTCGGGGCTGCAGCCCAGGGAGCCCCAGTCCTCCGGGAAGGAGTCTGTCTGGGTCCGGTATGTGCAGGGCAGTCCCTGGAGAGGCCACGACGGGGCGCTGGGGAGGGGTGACTGCGGCACTGGGCTCAGCACCCAGCGGCTCCCCAGCCCAGCTGAGGGCCTTTAACGGGTCTGTGTCTACCCCAAGGAAGAAGCGCAGCTAGCAAGGGTGGAAGGGAATGGCCACAGGGTCTCAACCCTTCCTGCCTCAGCCTCCAGGGCTCTAGTGACTGTCCCCGACCGTGTCTGGCTTCACCATTTCACCTCCACTGTTTGGTCTTTGTGACTCAGTCTTCCATACAAATACAGTGGTGCCGATTCGGAGCACAGTGAGCACAGGTACGAATCTGGATGGCTTGCTGTCTACCGTGTGCCTCAGCAGGAGTGCTCTTTACTAAGTCTCTGTGCTGGATACGGTTAGTTATCAACTTAACACACCTGGGTAGAGAAGCCTCATTTAGGGAATTGCTATTCCCTCCATAGGACTGGCCTGTGGCTATGTCTGTGGGGCATCTTGGTTGTTGGTGATGTGGGAGAGCCCAGCCCACTGTGGGTGGTGCCACCCCAGGCAGGTGGGTCTGTTGTATAAGAAAGCAGGCTGAGCAGGAGCCAGGGGAGCAAGCCAATAAGCATGGCCTGGGCTCCCTGAAGAACTGTTAGCTGGAGATGTGAGCCAAATAAATCCCTTTTTCCCCCTGCTGGTGGTGGTCAGAGTGTTTTGTCACAGCAATGGAGAAACAAACTAGGACGGTCTCCATTTGTAATGTTAATTTTTTTGCAAGGGTTGTTTTCTTTTGACACATGGTTCCAGCCTTGTTAGGGTTTGAAAATACATGAAAGGACCGTCTTGCTCTTCACTATGTAAATCGATGTATCAGTGTGTGCAGCAGCTGCCCCGGAGGCAAGAACAGCTTTGGGAGCTGGTTCTGCACTGTGGTCCTAGGGACTGAATTCTGCTCTCAGGTTTGCAGCAAAAGCCTGAACTCACCACGTTTGAAAAATGTGAGCTCAGACACTGAAATGCCACACAGAATTACACTTCCTATGTCGTATAGTTGAATTGCCTTGAGGATGAGTTTTGTATTTGTGTTCTGGTTTCCAGCGCGAGTGTATCTCTATCCACGTGGGGCAGGCGGGTGTCCAGATCGGCAATGCCTGCTGGGAGCTGTACTGCCTTGAGCACGGTATTCAGCCCGATGGTCAGATGCCAAGTGACAAAACCATCGGGGGTGGTGACGACTCATTCAACACCTTCTTCAGTGAGACGGGGGCCGGCAAGCACGTTCCCAGAGCAGTGTTCGTGGACCTGGAGCCCACTGTGGTCGGTAGGTGCATGAGGAGTAACTCTGGAGAAGCCCATGGGGGCTCCTGCAGTCCCTCTGCAGGAAAGACAGGCTGTCCGAGAGAATGCTTGTCAGGAAAGAAGCTCAAAGGGTCGTGACTGGGACCCGGGCTCCTAGTCGGGAAAGCATAGCGTTTAGGGAGGAGCTGCTGTGCCAGCCTTAAGATTGGCTGGAGCTGTTCTCTGGCTACCTGGGCTCTGCTCTGATGTCTCATAGACCACGAGCTCCTAATCCGAGCTCGAGAAGGTTCCTAGCCCTGCTTTAGCTCCTCGTTAGAAGCTCAAGGTAGTATCCAGTGAGATGGGAAAGAGCACATCCATGACCCCTGGGAGATGAGCGAGTACATCCCTTAACAGCTTGTGAAACTCAAACCACATAGTGCCCTGGTGGCACTGTTCTGCCAAGGTCAAGATGACCTTGTGACTGCCCACTTTAAGAGCTTTCCAGCTTCTTTAATTTGCTGTAGGAATGGGTAGGAAAGCCTTGTCCCTGTGGAATTACCTGAGAGAGCACTCACTTCACGGGGAGCTGGTTTAGCTGGCATTGGTACAGTTAGTTGACTTCGTCTTCCTAGAGCCATAAAAGCTTTTGACTTACCAGGTGTTATGGCTCACACCTATAATCCCAGCACCTGGGGAATTGACAGTACAGTCCTCTTTGAGGGCCACTTTGGGTCAAGCTGCAAGACCCTGTCTCAAACCCAAACAAATTACATGTGTGGTTTATGTATCAGCAGACCTTTTCTAGGGGCACTGTTGACATGAGTGTAGTGTGCACTTTGTGGAATGTCCTTGAGTATGTCCATCAGTGGCTACAATAGGCCTGAAAGACTCACAGCCATACGGTCTCTCTGTAGACGAAGTACGCACGGGGACCTACAGGCAACTCTTCCACCCAGAGCAGCTGATCACTGGGAAGGAAGATGCGGCCAATAATTATGCCAGAGGTCATTATACCATCGGTAAGGAGATTGTCGACCTCGTCCTGGACCGGATCCGCAAACTGGTGAGAGGATTGCAGAGGAGGCTTTATGGGGTGGTTGTCCTAGTTGAGAGTCAACTGTGGTAGAGTAGGCAGAGGGGGCATTTTTTGACAAATCTGTCAGAATTGGGAGTCTGACTTGGGTTGTGAGGCATCCATAAGTCTGCACTGTGTCGTTGCTTCTAGTGCAGTGTGTGCATGTTGTGGTCAACCTGGTCTGTGCCCGCTGGCAGAGGTGGAGGGTGAGCATGGGCTTGGATGCTGCGGCATGGCTTCGCTCACGTCTTCTGCTTTCTCACAGGCGGACCTGTGCACAGGACTGCAGGGCTTCCTCATCTTCCACAGCTTCGGAGGTGGCACGGGCTCGGGGTTCGCATCCCTGCTCATGGAACGGCTCTCGGTGGACTATGGCAAGAAGTCCAAGCTGGAGTTCGCCATTTACCCCGCCCCTCAGGTCTCCACAGCTGTGGTAGAGCCCTACAACTCCATTCTGACCACACACACGACCCTGGAACATTCTGACTGTGCCTTCATGGTCGACAACGAAGCCATCTATGACATCTGTAGGCGCAACCTGGACATTGAACGTCCCACATACACCAACCTCAATCGTCTGATCGGGCAGATTGTGTCCTCCATCACAGCCTCCCTGAGGTTCGATGGGGCCCTGAATGTGGACCTGACAGAATTCCAGACCAACCTGGTGCCATACCCTCGAATCCACTTCCCACTGGCCACCTACGCCCCGGTCATCTCAGCTGAGAAGGCCTACCATGAGCAGCTCTCGGTGGCTGAGATCACCAACGCGTGCTTCGAGCCAGCCAATCAGATGGTCAAGTGCGACCCTCGCCATGGCAAATACATGGCCTGCTGCATGTTGTACAGGGGGGATGTTGTCCCGAAAGATGTCAACGCGGCTATCGCTACCATCAAGACTAAGCGCACTATCCAGTTTGTAGACTGGTGCCCAACTGGATTTAAGGTATGATTGGGTGCTGTGGCTTTGTACCTGTCAGCAGGCAATAGACCCTGCCCAGGGCCATAGCCTTGGGGGAGAATTCTTCCCCTTCCATGTTGGCTACAAAGAAAGTTTGTGTGCAGGCATTAATTTGCACCTTGTGCTCTGTGCCCTTTTCTTTAAAGCCCCAGTTACCAAAGCAAGCAGTTGAGTTTTTCCCTGTCAGGGACATGAAGACTTCCCAAGAAGCATCTTTTGGCAGATGCACAGGGATGCTGTGCTTTGCCCAGGTTTCCTCCCAGCTTCTGAAAGTGGTTCTGTGAGCAGTAAAGAGCTGGCCTACAGGGACGTATCAGGTTGCAGCCTGTCTGTTCAGACAGTGTCCACCACAGCAGGTGGACCCTGTTAGTCTCTTTGCCCTAAGTTCCTTTTTGTCCATGTCCATGTGATTGACCACACGTTATTGTACAACTATTCACTTAGGGACACGCTAGCTTCCATGTTTAAAAATATTTTGAATTTTTAACTGGGCATGCATGGTATCACATGCCTAGCACTAGGGAAGCAGAAGAGAAGGATCAGGAGTTCAGGGTCATCCTTGGCTACATAGCAGGTTTGAAGTTGGCCTGGACCTACATGAGGCCGTGTTTCAAGAACAATTTTTGTGTCTTTTGAATTATAAAGATTGGCGCTGGGCTTGGTGGCGCACGCCTTTAATCCCAGCACTCGGGAGGCAGAGGCAGGCAGATCCCTGTGAGTTCAAGGCCAGCCTGGTCTACATAGTGAGTTCCAGGACACCTGGGGCTACAGGGAGACCCTGTCTGAAAAAGACCAAAAAAAAAAAAAAAAAGGCGAAATATTAAAGCTGGAAGGCTAAAAAGCTGAAACCCCTTCCCTAGAGCTTATTGTCCTTACAGAGCAAGAGGTGGTCTGTGCATATAGACAAGTTATACAGCTGACACTGCTTGACAGAGGCCAGCAGACCTGAGCAAAGGATATGTGTGCCTTCTAACTAGATAAGGGACTCAGGATGAATGCTCCATTTCGAGTTTAAGAATGGAGCCCTTTGTGCCATGCTTGACTTGACTGGCAAGAAGGGGCTTCTCACCCTCACCTGTGGTTTGTTAAGGGCTGTAGGACCCAGGAAGCAGGCAGCACTACTGCTTGGAAAGGCCCACTAACGTGGTCTCCGTTGTGGAAGGGTGTTCATTGATGGGGACCGTCCCGTGTGCCTTTGTCCCGGCTGTGTTCCTAACTGCTGCTAACAGCCATCTGTTCACAGAACAGAAGGGTCACCGCCTTAGCACACCCCAGGTGCTCAGTAGTCTTCAGCGCCAACATGCTTTCCTTCCTTGAGTCTAAGGCTATGCAGGTGTTTTCTACACACAAGTGCATAGGTTTCTGCTCGGTTTTCTTTAGTGTGCGGTATGCTTTGGACGCACTTACATGCCAGGGTAAGGGTTCTTTTGCATGTTTTACCATGTTGGGTGCATAACAGTGTGTTCATTTGCAGTTTGGGGCATTGGTGTTTCAAGTAAGTACTTAAAACTGTGTTGCCTTGTGTAGGTGAGTCCAAAAACTGAAATTAAAGGACCAACAGATACTGTGAATTCCCAGAAGTATGAATAGTTACATTTACACTGGGTCCACAGCTCCCAACTTCGAATAAACGTTATTGATCTCAGAGTAAACGTGACTGTTTCTTTCGCAGGTGGGTATTAACTACCAGCCCCCCACTGTGGTCCCAGGAGGAGACCTGGCCAAGGTGCAGCGGGCCGTGTGCATGCTGAGCAACACGACTGCCATCGCAGAGGCCTGGGCCCGCCTGGACCACAAGTTTGACCTCATGTACGCCAAGCGAGCCTTTGTGCACTGGTACGTGGGGGAGGGCATGGAGGAAGGGGAGTTCTCGGAGGCTCGGGAGGACCTGGCCGCGCTGGAGAAGGATTATGAAGAGGTGGGCGTGGATTCCGTGGAAGCAGAGGCTGAAGAAGGGGAGGAGTACTGAGTGCGAGGATCCACTGGCCGCCAGCCCTCTACCCTCTGCTCCCACCATTGTCTTAACAGGATATAGTTAATAAAGTTTACACATTGAGGCATTTGTCCTGTGTGCCTTACTTAACTCCCTATTTAGACACCTGCCTTTTTCAAGTGAATTTCTTGGGGAAAAATGTTTTTGGAGAAATTTTCCTAAGCATGTCTGTGTGTTCACCTGAAAATAACTAGGTAAGAAAATCAGAACAGGATGATTTGTTTAAAAATTATGAACTCCTGGGGCTGGAGAGATGGCTCAGCGTTAAGAGCACTGGCTGCTCTTGCAGAGGATCCACGTGGCGGCTAACCACCGTCCGTAACTCCAGTTCAAGGGGATCTGACGCTCCTTCTGATCTCGGGGCCTGGCACCACGCTGGTGTGCTTGCATGCATGCAGGCAGTGCACTCATACACATCGTGAACTCCTTTGCATCATGCTTGACTGGCATGGAAGTGACTTTTCACTCTTGGGGTGCTGGGGAGTGTCCTTGTGTGTTCATGGGTCACAGCTCACTTCTGACGTGGTTTCCCAGGATGCCATTAGCTCCACTCCAGTGCTGTCATGTCATTGCACAGAACTACCCATCACAGGTCCCCTGGTTGGTCACTGCTCATCCGTTAAGCCCTTTTCTTGGTCTGGAAAGAAGTGTGAGCACTGATCTTGGCTGCGTTCCTTAGTACAAGAGGCCAGGGGTTTCTTGGTGCTGGGCCTTTGTCAGTCAGGCCTCCGAGGACAGGAGAGCCGCCAACCAGGTTCTGCCTTGCCACACAGACCCACGTTTGGGCTGCTCGTGCTGGCTGGTCAGTACTGTCAGATGTGCAAGTGAGCCATGTGGTGACAGGACAAACATGACTGGTCCTTCCTCAGGTCGAAGTGAAGCCTGAACTTAGGAGTGGGAGGGTAGAGGGTGCAAGTAGTCTTGAGTCCATCTGGGAAAAGGGCAGGACACTTGCCAAGGTGGGACTTGTTCCGGCTCTTTCCTGCTAGCTGATGACCAACCCCTCCTCCAGGCCCATTGCCTCCACTCCCGAGCACATGGTGCTTATCTGGAAGTGCTGCGGGGAGTCTGCCCTTCCTGCGTGAGCAATACGAACACAGGCCTGTGGCTGGTGCCCAGCTGTTGCTCAGGGCTTTTGTTCTGCAGACTCCTAAGACAGCTTGGACATGTCTGTTACTGGACCCCAAGTGGCCAGCACCCTGTGGGACCTGGCTTGTGAGATCTACTCAGCACCGGAGAACTTGGAGTAAAGTGGGCCTCCTTGCCAGCCCGCACTGGACAGGGCGTGAGGCATTGGAGCAGGGGTACTAGGACAGCTGTGTGTCCTGATGAGGAACTCCTTGAGCACCTGGTGTGAACACCCTTGCCAGGCCGCCCAAGATCCACAGTGCAGTCTCCTCTTCCCACTGCCATAATCACCATGATTATCACTATCATCACGATCACGGTGCCATCCACAGCCTTTCGGGGAATGCTCAACACCAGTTTTCCCAGAGTCTACAGAGCAGTTCTTTGTGACTGGTCTACCTACCCTGCTGGTGTTTTCCACTCAGGAGGCTTCAGGGAAGACAGACATCTAACTGGACTCTATGACTTACTGCTGGCCTTCCTAGCCTTGGTCCTGGGGAGCCCATGCTGGGGTTTGGGGGTTATCAGCCTGGAGTGGCCGCACTTGTCCAGCGCATTCAGCCTTTTGCCCACAGTGGGGCTCACAAGCTGAAAGCCGCAGTCCCTGCCAGAGTTGCCACATTGGACCAGACAAGACCAAGGGGCCTGGTTACCCACCTGCCTTCCCGCTCCATCAATCCAGGAAGCAGTGTGCACTACAGGTGGGGCTACCCAACTCCCAAAGCCGAGGGACTGCCTTAGAGTATGTGCCAGCAGCCTTGCTGGGAGTTCCTGCTGTCTAGACTAGAGGGGCTTGGGCTTTAGGGAGACGAGGTGGGCTTACAAAAGGTCTGTCCTCTCCGACCGTTCCACCTCCGGTTGCTGTTCTCTGCTTTCCGTGTTACGTGGCCGCTTCTCAGATGCCCAAGCAGATGGGGCAGGTTATAGTGCCCAGCCCCACAGAGCAGCAGCCTTCCCCTCCTGTGGCCTGTTTCCCCATCAGCCTGCGTGTTAGCGCTGCAGTCACCTGTGGGAGCCTACATCCACAGTGAGCACAGCTACCAGATAGGGAGGGCCCCACCATGGAAGAGGAGGGCTGATGCTGCTCTGGGTGGCCTGCACAAGGCGCATGCCAGCTGTCGGCCTCCATATGGCCGGAGCAGCAGCTGTAGAGGAACTGGCACAGGAAGTGGGCAGACAGGAGCAGATCCTGAAGGAGCACCTGCAGGCCTTTGCAGCAGATGGAGCAGCAGCACGGCCTGAGGGAGGACCACCCTCCAAGGCTCTGGACAGGGCCGTCTCAGAACTGTACCCACCAGACCTGCCAGAGAACAAAGATTCCAGAAAGAGGCCCTGCTGTCTGACCACTGGGTGTGCCAGGCTTTTCCGAGAGAGACTGCCGCATGCAAGCTCTTGGCTGGGGGACACTGCGAGCCTTTGTGGCCTCAGGTTAGTTCCATTCCCCCAGCGTTCCCTGAAAGGCACAGGATGGTGCAAACAGGCATTCCCTGGCATCCTTCCATTAACTCAAAGTTGTGTCTTAAGCCACACCTTCCGCATAGGTACTTTTTATTTTTGAGGACAGGGTCACCTATACCCCAGGCTGGCCTCTTAACTATGTAGCCTAGGATGACTATGAACTCTTGGTCCTTTTCCCCCTACCTACCATGTGCTGGGATTACAGGTATGCACCACCATGCCCAACCTCAGACTCGGTATTTGGGTAGATGTACCCCAGGCTTCTGTCCACACGTCTGCCCCGTCAGTCACGAGGCCAGCCTCTGCACTGCCCATGCCTACCCCATCTCCCTTAGCACTGACCTGAGGTGTGGGAAGAAACGGAAAGATCTTTGAGGTGAGCTGGTGCTGGCCTCGGCATCATTTTCTTAACCCCAGGAAACCTAGGCTTTTCTGTGGCTGTGTTCACGGTGAACAGCGAGTGTATGACCGCCCCTGCTGCTCCTTGGCAACGTAGTGAGACTCACAGCTGGCATGCAATGTAACATCAGATTCCCTCAGAGCCAACACGTTGGGGGAACTCAACAGGAGGCGTGAGGCAAAGGGTGCCCCTCTGGGTGAGCCACTGTGGTCTTGCTGCTCCTCCGTCTACCCAGCCTGTGGCTTCAGCCACAATCCCACAGCCCTCAGCTCTGTTCTGACTCAAGATGGTTGCTTGGGGGCTGGGAGCATAGCTCAGCTGGTAGAGTGCCTTGCATGCACAGGGTCCTGGGTTCAGTTCCCCCAGGTATGATGGCACGTGCTTGTAATTCTGGCACTTGGGAGGTAAAGGCAAAAGTTCAAAGTCATGCTTGACTACATAGGGAGTTCAAGACTAGCCTTGACTATCTGAGACCCTCAAAAAAAAAAAAAAGCTGGGCATGCTGGCACACCCTTTTAATCCAAGCACTCGGGAGGCAGAGACAGGTGGATTGCTATGAGTTGAGAACAACCTTGTTTACATGGAGTTCAGAGCCAGCCAGGGCTACATGGTGTGCTCCTGTCTCAAACAAAAGAGAATGCCAAACCTGGCTTCTAGCTTCAGAACCAAAGTGGCCCAGAGCTGAGGCCTGCAGTCCAGGTCCAGTAAGAGGAAAGGATATAGAGACAGCTGGGTGACATTTCTAGAGCAGAGATCACCATGGTGACAGATTGCCATCTGGGCCAGAACACAGGAGCATCTGCTGAACTCAAAAGGCCAAGGAGGGACAGCGAGTCATGGGGGAGGGGGCAGCACACCAGGAATGTTTGCTACCCATAAGGTAACTTCAGAGCCATTCTTTACATACTGGCCAGGGCCCTGGGCATGAGTGGTGGGCTGGGGTGTGAGCCCTAACTGCAATAGCAGCTCTAGAGGGACCGTGGGGCCTGGAACCCCCAACCTCCCCTCCCTCACCTCTTACCACCTCATCATTTGCCTTCTGTAGAGAGCCCCTTACTGGCCCCTCCCTCCTCCCTTTCTCTCCCTGGGTCCTCTTGACCTTGTTTCCCAACTCTCTTTCTTCCCACCACATACCTGGTGGTTTTTCCAAACCAGGAATGTACCCCTGTCACACTCAGTCACTCATCAGACTTGGAAGCAAGTGCCTTTGCCTGCTGAGCCATCTTAATGATTTTGAGACAAGGTCTCAGCCCCGGCTAGTCTTGAACTGCAGATCCTGCCTACACCTTCCAAGTGCTGGGACCACAAGGTGCCACCACCATGCCCAATTAGATCTGTCACTTCTCAGAAACCCAAGCTTTGTCACTCATCCTTCCAAGCATATCCTGGGTGATCTGGGCTATCTGCCACCACTGGGCTATCTGCCACCACTCTCTTCTAAGATCTGGAGAGAGAGAAATGTTTCAACCTCTGCTTTTGTTTCTGCTGTTCTGCTGAAGGCCCAGCTCTGCCCACTTCTCTCTGGCACTCCGCTCCTGGGTTCTGACTCCTGGGTGGGTGGATGTACTTTCTCACTGATTTATCACCCAGAGGAATGAATGCTGTTTCCTCTCCCTGCTCAGTAGGGGAGCCGGGTGCAGAGTGGATGCCCAGAGTCCACTCGCTCGCTTCCCCAGCCCACAGAGGCCTTACCCAGGGCATAATGCTCCATGGAGCCACATCCACCAAGCTGGTACAATGGGACCACTCTAGACAAGAGCCCTGCCATGTTGCTCTCTGGCCTCAGAGGGCTCAGTTTCTCTTTCTTCTCCCTCTCTCTCTTCCTTGCTTTATTTTTTTGCCTATATAATGAAAATTATGAGATGTTTTAGTCAGAACTAAGTTTTAATTAGGTCTCTATTTTAATTCACTATCCTGAACTGACAGTATTGATGACTAAAAAAATCACAGGGTTCATATAAGGGTTAGATGGGAAAATATAGTCAGAGATGAGTGGAGAGATGGCCCACAGCAGGCCTTCCTTGAACGCCTCTGATAGTCCCTTTCGTGTCCATGCTCCTGCACGAAC